TAAGTCTTTGTCTTAATCTTATAATTATGAATTATTCTAAGAATAAATAGATTTGGTAAGTTACAATATATAATTTATTAATGAAATACAAAAGATAAGTTATTGGTTGAATTAGCTACAGGGTAAGTTAACAATGATAAATTTTCAAAATGGTGGGGTTCCAAAGTGGATGAAAAGATTCTCTAGGCTTAGGCCTATATTGGGTTGGTTTCTTCTTAAGTACTAATTAATATTCAAATAGATGACCTCTTAATCTCAGGGAGGGGTGGTCGTGCCGGTTCGAATGATATACTAGGCTTCTTTAAAATGCAGATAATTTAATTTAGTTATTGTTCTGAAATAAGTTAAGCTAGGTTCATGATGCTATTAATATAATAATGTTAATGTCCAAAGAAAGATTCCAAATGGTTTCACTGAATTTAATGAAATAAAATAGAATTTGAAGATTAAATTTTGAATAAAAGTTCAATTTGAAATATGTATATATCTTGATGAGTTGAGTTAATTTGGCCTAGTAGGCTATGCTGATTAAATGTCCAATGAAGATTAAATTTGTCCTTAGTTAAATAAGATGGATGATGGTTACCAAATTTGGAGTGTCTGTCTTCTTATAAATTTGTACTCTTCAATGCACTTGTCCAATACTTTTGGATGGTGAGAAATTTAAATTTTAGGTTTTACTTTGGGATTATGAATTTTAGTTTAAATTAAACACAATTTCCAGTAGAATGATGTTCACACTGTGAAGAGTTGGCAGGATCTGGGGAGAGGCAATGGTAGAAGCTCAGGAAGTCCATGTCCATTGTTGAAGTGATGTACAGCTGGTTAATTTACATGAATGACACTTGCCACAGTAATTTTGATTTTCTTTGGATAATTTTGAAAAATAATACTATATTTGATATGTTATTATTATATTGCAATTTTCTTACAATTGTATATTATTCTAAATAAATGATTATTGTTGGTTTTTGATGAGTACTTAATAGGAATGGAGATAATTTGCATAAATATTATATTGTAACATAAAATAGGATGATGTTTCTGTGGGGTGATGGGATATTATATAACATTGAACAAAATTGGATAAAATAACACATTAACAAGGAGGAACATATTAAATAACTGATAATACATTATCAGGGGCATTAACAGACATTATGAGAGAAAATATACAAAATAAAAGAGAAATTAATGTTAATGATGAATGAATGACATGTAATATTACATAATAGAGTACTGATACTGGGAAAACCCAACAGGAAGCGGTTCATCCGCCCCGTGTGGCCAGGTACTTCGCGCGGCTTAACTTCGCGCGAAGATAAGCCGCGCGGCTTAAATTCCTCTCGTGTGGCCGGGGCCTTAACAATAAATGAAATATTAACAATAAATGAAACGCTATGTTTATAGCTTCAATTAAACTTTTTGCCATTTTAGAAAACATTGTGCTACGGGGTCATCCGCGCTTTAGCTGTGGAAACTTTATATTAGACTAGTGTTCGTATGTTGCTCGAAATCGAGCAATTGAAAAGAAGTAAGGTAGTTATTTAAAAACAAATAACTTATTTAAAAACGAATTAAAGTCATAGTTTCCGATGAGTTTAAATTACTCAACTCATTGATTACGTAGGCTACCTAACAGTTCCATATAATCAACATTTCTTGTAAATATATTATCATTTGTCAAAAACAGATCTGGGTTTTTTAGTGTATTAAGCAAATGTTTTTTTCACTTATTGCCGCATTAGGTTGTTAGTCTTCATCAATGTCTGCATGGTACCCCCCATTGTATCGCCAGTACGTTTACAAATTTCAGTCATTTTTTTTATAGCGATAGCATTTTGTTTGCATTACTTAAGAACTACCTGATGTTCTGCATAACCTCTCTGTCACAAGTTTATTTGCTTCAATTGACATTAATTTGGCAAGTTACTGGAGGTACTGTTTACGTAAATTATATTTACCTGAAAAAATGCAGAATTGAAAGGCCTAATGTAGTTCAGATGGTTTTTTGTTTCCCTTAAATGTGAATAATAATGTGAATAATGCGAATCCTTCAATGAAAAGTTTTCTTGGATGTAGTCATATTCTTTTAAAATCACTTTACTTTTATGAAAACATATTATGTCCTTGCCGTACCAGTTTGTTTAATTCAGCCTTAGAGGGTTTTCCTTTGCCAATCATCATAGAAGTTAAGTCCATGTTTCCTACAAAATAGTGGCACTACGGCTAACATCCTTGTTCATTGTTTGTGGGATTCTTCATCTTGTAGGCGTTCTTCATTATATAGGATGATAACGATAGTAATTAAAAACAACTCGATTGGTGGCGTTCTATTACTTTCCTATGTGTCCATGGATAACAAATCGGTTCTAGGTTCTATCAATGATTGCTCAAGAAATACAGTACTATGTCAATTCATTTTTCTTATTTGTTAAACATATCAGATTGTCCAGGCTTTCTCGACTTTTTACATTGTAATAAAAGAGATGTACTTGTAAGTTGTAACATGTGTTCATAATAAGCCATCTAACCACAGTATACTAGCAAATTACAAAATACAGTTCAAAAGGAAAAACATCACTTGTTACTACTGAGCAATGATTATGATTATACTGAAGATTACTCGATACATTGTAGTAAAAGCTAGCAGTGCGGAGTGTGGGATCTGTTTATGCTGACCATTAGATTAAGGTACCTGCAATCCTAAAATGCTATGGGAAGGGAAGGAAACAGGTCCGCGACGTAGGAAGTGGACGAAGTGGTGAAGGAAGTAGTAAAGGAGCTGTCCGGATTGTGGGAACTGTTTATGACAATTAGATTAAGGTATCTGCAATCCTAAAATGCTATGGGAAGGGAGGGAAACGGGTTCGTGACGTAGAAAGTGGTGAGGAAGTAGTAAAGGCGAGCAGTCCGGAGTGTGGGAACTGTTTATGACGATTAGAGTAAGGTATCTGCAATCCTAAAATGATATGGTAAGGGAGGAAAACAGGTCTGCGACGTAGGAAGTGGTGAAGGAAGTAGTCAATGCGAGCTATCCGGAGAGTGGGAACTGTTTATGACGATTAGATTAAGGTATCTGCAATCTTAAAATGCTATGGGAAGGGAGGAAAACAGGCCCGCGACGTAGGAAGTGGTGAAGGAGGTAGTAAAGGCAAGTAGTCCAGAGGGTAGGAACTGTTTATGACGGTTAGATTAAGGAATCTGCAATCCTAAAATGTTATGGAAAGGGAGGGAAACAGGTTTGCGACGTAGGAAGTGGTTAAGGAAGTAGTAAAGGTGAGCAGTCCGGAGTGTGGGAACCGTTTATGACGATTAGATTACGGTATCTGCAATCCTAAAATGCTATGGGAAGGGAGGAAAACAGATCCGCGACGTAGGAAGTGGTGAAGGAAGTAGTCAAGGCGAGCTGTCTGGAGTGTGGGATCTGTTAAGGACAATTAGATTAAGGTATCTACAATCCTAAAATGCTATGGGAAGGGAGGGAAACAGGTCCGCGACGTAGGAAGTGGCGTAGGAAGCAGTTAAGTTTAGCATCTCATAGTGTGGGAATCGTCTGTGGCAGTTAGATTAGTGTATCTTAAATCCTAAAATGCTATGAATAGGGAAGGAAACAGCCCACGACGTAGGAAATGGTGAAGGAAGTAGTAAGGCTAGCAGTGCAGAGTGTGAGAACTGCCTGTGGCAATTACATGAATGTATTTGCAATCCTAAAATGCTATGGGAAGGGAGGGAAACAGGTCCACGACGTAGGAGTGGTGAAGGAAGTAGTAAAGGCAAGTATTGTGGAGTTTGGGGATGGATTAATGTATCTGCAATACTAAGACTGCTTTCAGAGTTAACTAATGATTTTTCCCTAGCAAAGCTCGGTCCCTAGGTAGTGTTTTTAAAGGTAGTATGATCTCTATATTTATAGTCATACCATTGACCATATAGTGTTATATAGTAAATTTTCATACCCAGGCCAACTCAAGGAATGTCGAGTATTTTTTTGGACGTCACTTGAAAGACAGTAATAAATAAATCAGTAAATTTTAAAATGATTCAATCAAGTTAAAATTGATTGCATAAGATAAGCTTTGTTTTGATGTGCTATTCATATAGGACTCATAGTACAGTTTAAATGTTTAAATAAATTGGGATGTTCTCATTGCCTCATCATGTATTTTATTTTGTGGGTCTCAAGCCAGCCATGTCAGCCCAAGATGCTTCTACCCCTTACTTCTCTATCACCTGCCCTCCCTCACACAAATCCTTCCTGTGACCTTCAGAGATCTATTCTAAGTCATGTATATCCAGGCAGCTGAGATTGTTAGCAAGTATAATTCACAAATACAGACACCAACTGTATAATAGTGCCTGCTTATACTTCAACCTCATAATCTTTGAAAATGCAGCAATCTCTAAAGAATAAATTTACTTTCCTGTTCAAACTAAAATTACCACAATAACCAATGATAACTCAACCTCATGGTTGAAGATGAAAGAACTGCTTGGTGTTTATGCAATTTTCAGTTTTAAATTTGTTAAATGTTATTTTTGTGTTGGGTTTTTGATGGTTTTTGAAAGCCTTAATTCAGTTGTATTAAATTAATGTTTTATTACATTTTCTTACTACTGAAGTAAGATTTTTCAGTTGTCACATATATTAATACTGTAAACAAAATCATAGGTACAATTCTGGTGTTGGAAAACTCTTACCGGTACCTTAGTAAGCTATCAGTACAAATTCATTTCAAAACTCATATTATATTCTCTTTAAGCCACCCTCTTAGCAACTGTTGCTAACACCTGATTGCTTGGGTTTTCTGCCTGTAAAATAAGGGTTTGATTTTCAATTGGATTTTCACAAAAAAAGCTAGAGGGATTAAGTGAAATATTTGCTACATACCTATTTTGTTGTCCACAAAATCTGCCTGGGTTTTTCCATCTTGTTGCCAAACACCTACGTATGGACAGCAAGTTTTTAATCTGTGTTTGACACAATATTTATTTTTCAGGTCTTTGTTACGTGAACACCATCAACTGGGAGCTGATAGCGAAGTGGGACCCTATCAAGAACTATGTGGCCAAGAATAAAGACCCCAGTGATTGTCCAGGCTGCCAGGCTGAATGTCCCCACGGGCTGTGCTGGAGCCGAATTGAGTGCCAGGTTTGTCGACATCCAACAAACTTAAGTCCCAACATCTCAATCTAGGACACTAGCCTATTATTGCTCAGAATCAGATTTTACTTTACTTCAGGCTAAGCCTAGAGGTAGTTGCTTTATCACTTAGATAACATTCATTAGTGATTGGCGGGATTTTAATCCGTTACCTCAGGGACCTAGTCCAGCGTTCTAGCACTAAACCAGATCGCTCCATCCACAAACTGATTACTGTTTCTATTTTATTGGGGAGTACCATTTAGAGTTTTATGGTGTTAAAATCTAATGTTACTGAACTATCCACTGATGTTGTGTTAGATATAGCCAGAGTCACCCCACTGTCATTCCCTGTGGGTGGATGTTCTGCTCCTGGACCTAGAGGCTGTCACTCCTATAGGAGAGTTCTCAGTAGACTGAGTGTCACTAAACTAACCACTAATATTGTGTTAGATCCAGCCAGAGTCACCCCACTGTTATCACCTGTGTGTGGGTGGATGTTCTGCTCCTGGACCTAGAGGCTGTCACTCCTATAGGAGAGCTCTCAATAGACTGAGTGTCACTAAACAAACCACTAATATTGTGTTGGATCCAGTCAGAGTCACCCCACTGTTATCACCTGTGTGTGGGTGGATGTTCTGCTCCTGGACCTAGAGGCTGTCACTCCTGTAGGAGAGTTCCCAGTAGACTGAGTGTCACTAAACTAACCACTGATATTGTGTTAGATCCAGCCAGAGTCACCCCACTGTTATCACCTGTGAGTGGGTGGATGTTCTGCTCCTGGACCTAGAGGCTGTCACTCCTGTAGGAGAGTTCTCAATAGACTGAGTGTCACTAAACTAACCACTGATATTGTGTTAGATCCAGCCAGAGTCACCCCACTGTTATCACCTGTGTGTGGGTGGATGTTCTGCTCATGGATCTAGAGGCTGTCACTCCTGTAGAAGAGTTCCCAGTACACTGAGTGTCACTAACCTCACCACTAATGTTGTGTCAGATCCAGCCGGAGTCACCCCACTGTCATGCCCTGTGGGTGGATGTTCTGCTCCTGGACCTAGAGGCTGTCACTCCTATAGGAGAGTTCTCAATAGACTGAATGTCACTAAACTAACCACTGATATTGTGTCAGATCCAGCCGGAGTCAGACTGAGTGTCACTAAACTAACCACTGATATTGTGTCAGATCCAGCCGGAGTCAGACTGAGTGTCACTAAACTAACCACTGATATTGTGTCAGATCCAGCCGGAGTCAGACAGAGTGTCACTAAACTAACCACTGATATTGTGTCAGATCCAGCCGAAGTCACCCAAGGCCCCACTAGAAAAAACAGGCCATGCTGCAGGATCCATGACGTCACACTAGTGGATAGATTTCATTGATAAATTCATTGCCATCACCATTCCCATATGTTTTAGGTAAATAAACATGCTGGCTGTTTGTAAGATTTCAATGGTAAGAGTTTAGTACAACTATCCACAACTGTGACGTAGTGTTGCGCTACCGGCGCTGCAGCATGGCCTGTTTTTTTCTAGTGGGGCCTTGAGTCACCCCACTGTCATTCCCTGTGGGTGGATGTTCTGCTCCTGGACCTAGAGGCTGTCACTCCTATAGGAGAGTTCTCAATAGACTGAGTGTCACTAAACTAACCACTGATATTGTGTCAGATCCAGCCGAAGTCATTCCCTGTGGGTGGATGTTCTGCTCCTGGACCTAGAGGCTGTCACTCCTGTAGGAGAGTTCCCAGTAGACTGAGTGTCACTAAACTAACCACTAATATTGTGTTAGATCTAGCCAGAGTCACCCCACTGTTATCACCTGTGTGTGGGTAGATGTTCTGCTCCTGGACCTAGAGGCTGTCACTCCTATGGAGAGTTCTCAGTAGACTGAGTGTCACTAAACTAACCACTAATATTGTGTTAGATCTAACCAGAGTCACCCCACTGTCATTCCCTGTGGGTGGATGTTCTGCTCCTGGACCTAGAGGCTGTCACTCCTATGGAGAGTTCTCAGTAGACTGAGTGTCACTAAACTAACCACTAATATTGTGTTAGATCTAGCCAGAGTCACCCCACTGTTATCACCTGTGTGTGGGTAGATGTTCTGCTCCTGGACCTAGAGGCTGTCACTCCTATGGAGAGTTCTCAGTAGACTGAGTGTCACTAAACTAACCACTAATATTGTGTTAGATCTAACCAGAGTCACCCCACTGTCATTCCCTGTGGGTGGATGTTCTGCTCCTGGACCTAGAGGCTGTCACTCCTATGGAGAGTTCTCAGTAGACTGAGTGTCACTAAACTAACCACTAATATTGTGTTAGATCTAGCCAGAGTCACCCCACTGTTATCACCTGTGTGTGGGTAGATGTTCTGCTCCTGGACCTAGAGGCTGTCACTCCTATGGAGAGTTCTCAGTAGACTGAGTGTCACTAAACTAACCACTAATATTGTGTTAGATCTAGCCAGAGTCACCCCACTGTTATCACCTGTGTGTGGGTAGATGTTCTACTCCTGGACCTAGAGGCTGTCACTCCTATGGAGAGTTCTCAGTAGACTGAGTGTCACTAAACTAACCACTAATATTGTGTTAGATCTAACCAGAGTCACCCCACTGTCATTCCCTGTGGGTGGATGTTCTGCTCCTGGACCTAGAGGCTGTCACTCCTATGGAGAGTTCTCAGTAGACTGAGTGTCACTAAACTAACCACTAATATTGTGTTAGATCTAGCCAGAGTCACCCCACTGTTATCACCTGTGTGTGGGTAGATGTTCTGCTCCTGGACCTAGAGGCTGTCACTCCTATGGAGAGTTCTCAGTAGACTGAGTGTCACTAAACTAACCACTGATATTGTGTTCGATCTAGCCAGAGTCACCCCACTGTTATCACCTGTGTGTGGGTAGATGTTCTGCTCCTGGACCTAGAGGCTGTCACTCCTATGGAGACTTCTCAGTAGACTGAGTGTCACTAAACTAACCACTAATATTGTGTTAGATCTAGCCAGAGTCACCCCACTGTCATTCCCTGTGTGTGGGTAGATGTTCTGCTCCTGGACCTAGAGGCTGTCACTCCTATGGAGAGTTCTCAGTAGACTGAATGTCACTAAACTAACCACTGATATTGTGTTAGATCTAGCCAGAGTCACCCCACTGTTATCACCTGTGTGTGGGTAGATGTTCTGCTCCTGGACCTAGAGGCTGTCACTCCTATGGAGAGTTCTCAGTAGACTGAGTGTCACTAAACTAACCACTGATATTGTGTTAGATCTAGCCAGAGTCACCCCACTGTTATCACCTGTGTGTGGGTAGATGTTCTGCTCCTGGACCTAGAGGCTGTCACTCCAATGGAGAGTTCTCAGTAGACTGAGTGTCACTAAACTAACCACTGATATTGTGTTAGATCTAGCCAGAGTCACCCCACTGTCATTCCCTGTGTGTGGGTAGATGTTCTGCTCCTGGACCTAGAGGCTGTCACTCCTATGGAGAGTTCTCAGTAGACTGAGTGTCACTAAACTAACCACTAATATTGTGTTAGATCTAGCCAGAGTCACCCCACTGTCATTCCATGAGTGTGGGTAGATGTTCTGCTCCTGGACCTAGAGGCTGTCACTCCTATGGAGAGTTCTCAGTAGACTGAATGTCACTAAACTAACCACTGATATTGTGTAAGATCTAGCCAGAGTCACCCCACTGTTATCACCTGTGTGTGGGTAGATGTTCTGCTCCTGGACCTAGAGGCTGTCACTCCTATGGAGAGTTCTCAGTAGACTGAGTGTCACTAAACTAACCACTGATATTGTGTTAGGTCTAGCCAGAGTCACCCCACTGTCATTCCCTGTGTGTGGGTAGATGTTCTGCTCCTGGACCTAGAGGCTGTCACTCCTATGGAGAGTTCTCAGTAGACTGAGTGTCACTTAACTAACCACTAATATTGTGTTAGATCTAGCCAGAGTCACCCCACTGTCATTCCATGTGTGTGGGTAGATGTTCTGCTCCTGGACCTAGAGGCTGTCACTCCTATGGAGAGTTCTCAGTAGACTGAGTGTCACTAAACTAACCACTAATATTGTGTTAGATCTAGCCAGAGTCACCCCACTGTCATTCCCTGTGTGTGGGTAGATGTTCTGCTCCTGGACCTAGAGGCTGTCACTCCTATGGAGAGTTCTCAGTAGACTGAGTGTCACTAAACTAACCACTAATATTGTGTTAGATCTAGCCAGAGTCACCCCACTGTCATTCCATGTGTGTGGGTAGATGTTCTGCTCCTGGACCTAGAGGCTGTCACTCCTATGGAGAGTTCTCAGTAGACTGAGTGTCACTAAACTAACCACTAATATTGTGTTAGATCTAGCCAGAGTCGACCCACTGTCATTCCCTGTGTGTGGGTGGATGTTCTGCTCCTGGACCTAGAGGCTGTCACTCCTATGGAGAGTTCTCAGTAGACTGAGTGTCACTAAACTAACCACTAATATTGTGTTAGATCTAGCCAGAGTCACCCCACTGTTATCACCTGTGAGTGGGTAGATGTTCTGCTCCTGGACCTAGAGGCTGTCACTCCTATGGAGAGTTCTCAGTAGACTGAGTGTCACTAAACTAACCACTAATATTGTGTTAGATCTAGCCAGAGTCACCCCACTGTTATCACCTGTGTGTGGGTAGATGTTCTGCTCCTGGACCTAGAGGCTGTCACTCCTATGGAGAGTTCTCAGTAGACTGAGTGTCACTAAACTAGCCACTAATATTGTGTTAGATCTAGCCAGAGTCACCCCACTGTTATCACCTGTGTGTGGGTGGATGTTCTGCTCCTGGACCTAGAGGCTGTCACTCCTATGGAGAGTTCTCAGTAGACTGAGTGTCACTAAACTAACCACTAATATTGTGTTAGATCTAGCCAGAGTCACCCCACTGTTATCACCTGTGAGTGGGTAGATGTTCTGCTCCTGGACCTAGAGGCTGTCACTCCTATGGAGAGATCCCAGTAGACTGAGTGTCACTAAACTAACCACTAATATTGTGTTAGATCCAGCCAGAGTCACCCCACTGTTATCACCTGTGTGTGGGTAGATGTTCTGCTCCTGGACCTAGAGGCTGTCACTCCTATGGAGAGTTCCCAGTAGACTGAGTGGCACTAAACTAACCACTAATATTGTGTTAGATCCAGCCAGAGTCACCCCACTGTTATCACCTGTGTGTGGGTAGATGTTCTGCTCCTGGACCTAGAGGCTGTCACTCCTATGGAGAGTTCCCAGTAGACTGAGGGTCACTAAACTAACCACTAATATTGTGTTAGATCTAGCCAGAGTCACCCCACTGTCATTCCATGAGTGTGGGTAGATGTTCTGCTCCTGGACCTAGAGGCTGTCACTCCTATGGAGAGTTCTCAGTAGACTGAATGTCACTAAACTAACCACTGATATTGTGTAAGATCTAGCCAGAGTCACCCCACTGTTATCACCTGTGTGTGGGTAGATGTTCTGCTCCTGGACCTAGAGGCTGTCACTCCTATGGAGAGTTCTCAGTAGACTGAGTGTCACTAAACTAACCACTGATATTGTGTTAGATCTAGCCAGAGTCACCCCACTGTTATCACCTGTGTGTGGGTAGATGTTCTGCTCCTGGACCTAGAGGCTGTCACTCCTATGGAGAGTTCTCAGTAGACTGAGTGTCACTAAACTAACCACTGATATTGTGTTAGGTCTAGCCAGAGTCACCCCACTGTCATTCCCTGTGTGTGGGTAGATGGTCTGCTCCTGGACCTAGAGGCTGTCACTCCTATGGAGAGTTCTCAGTAGACTGAGTGTCACTTAACTAACCACTAATATTGTGTTAGATCTAGCCAGAGTCACCCCACTGTCATTCCATGTGTGTGGGTAGATGTTCTGCTCCTGGACCTAGAGGCTGTCACTCCTATGGAGAGTTCTCAGTAGACTGAGTGTCACTAAACTAACCACTAATATTGTGTTAGATCTAGCCAGAGTCACCCCACTGTCATTCCCTGTGTGTGGGTAGATGTTCTGCTCCTGGACCTAGAGGCTGTCACTCCTATGGAGAGTTCTCAGTAGACTGAGTGTCACTAAACTAACCACTAATATTGTGTTAGATCTAGCCAGAGTCACCCCACTGTCATTCCATGTGTGTGGGTAGATGTTCTTCTCCTGGACCTAGAGGCTGTCACTCCTATGGAGAGTTCTCAGTAGACTGAGTGTCACTAAACTAACCACTAATATTGTGTTAGATCTAGCCAGAGTCGACCCACTGTCATTCCCTGTGTGTGGGTGGATGTTCTGCTCCTGGACCTAGAGGCTGTCACTCCTATGGAGAGTTCTCAGTAGACTGAGTGTCACTAAACTAACCACTAATATTGTGTTAGATCTAGCCAGAGTCACCCCACTGTTATCACCTGTGAGTGGGTAGATGTTCTGCTCCTGGACCTAGAGGCTGTCACTCCTATGGAGAGTTCTCAGTAGACTGAGTGTCACTAAACTAACCACTAATATTGTGTTAGATCTAGCCAGAGTCACCCCACTGTTATCACCTGTGTGTGGGTAGATGTTCTGCTCCTGGACCTAGAGGCTGTCACTCCTATGGAGAGTTCTCAGTAGACTGAGTGTCACTAAACTAGCCACTAATATTGTGTTAGATCTAGCCAGAGTCACCCCACTGTTATCACCTGTGTGTGGGTGGATGTTCTGCTCCTGGACCTAGAGGCTGTCACTCCTATGGAGAGTTCTCAGTAGACTGAGTGTCACTAAACTAACCACTAATATTGTGTTAGATCTAGCCAGAGTCACCCCACTGTTATCACCTGTGAGTGGGTAGATGTTCTGCTCCTGGACCTAGAGGCTGTCACTCCTATGGAGAGATCCCAGTAGACTGAGTGTCACTAAACTAACCACTAATATTGTGTTAGATCCAGCCAGAGTCACCCCACTGTTATCACCTGTGTGTGGGTAGATGTTCTGCTCCTGGACCTAGAGGCTGTCACTCCTATGGAGAGTTCCCAGTAGACTGAGTGTCACTAAACTAACCACTGATATTGTGTTAGATCTAGCCAGAGTCACCCCACTGTTATCACCTGTGTGTGGGTAGATGTTCTGCTCCTGGACCTAGAGGCTGTCACTCCTATGGAGAGTTCCCAGTAGACTGAGTGGCACTAAACTAACCACTAATATTGTGTTAGATCCAGCCAGAGTCACCCCACTGTTATCACCTGTGTGTGGGTAGATGTTCTGCTCCTGGACCTAGAGGCTGTCACTCCTATGGAGAGTTCCCAGTAGACTGAGTGTCACTAAACTAACCACTAATATTGTGTTAGATCTAGCCAGAGTCACCCCACTGTTATCACCTGTGTGTGGGTGGATGTTCTGCTCCTGGACCTAGAGGCTGTCACTCCTATGGAGAGTTCTCAGTAGACTGAGTGTCACTAAACTAACCACTAATATTGTGTTAGATCCAGCCAGAGTTACCCCACTGTTATCACCTGTGTGTGGGTGGATGTTCTGCTCCTGGACCTAGAGGCTGTCACTCCTGTAGGAGAGTTCTCACTCATGATGGGGAATGTGTAGAGAACTGTCCTCATGGAACGTAAGTACAAATAAAAATCCCTGCAGAGTATTGGCTATTGCCGAACAGTATTCAGTAGGAATCATCTGATACTTAGCTATGAAGGGATTATCCTAGTTACTCCCATGCATTTAGTTGAATTTGATAAGACCTGTGTAACGCTAATACCATAGACTAACCAACACAAGTAGACTTTTCACCCCATTATACATTTTTAAGCTCGTTTTTCGTGTCTAATTCATGTTTGTGACACTGATCGTAGTGTCGACAAAATTAAGAAATTCTTTTATTTACAAAATAAGTGTGTGGAATTGACATTCTTAGCACTACATACAACAATGATCATTAAGACCGTCTCTTGTGGCTGGTGGACCTGGTCAGCACTTAAAATAAATATCAAACAGCAATAATTAAACTAAACAAAGTAAACTGTACTGGCAAAACCGATTAAGAAAACAAAACAATACATTTTGATTTTTCCCTACAATATAGAGATATTTGATCAAAAATAAAAATTTAGACAATTGAGACTTTATTAAGAAGTTCTTAATAAATACTATTAATTTTATTTAACTAGTTATATTTGGAAAACGATTAAAAAATAATCCTTGAATAAACTCCCTTCTTTTTGACAAAGCATCTTTTAAATAATTACTTACCGCCAATCTCTACCATTCAAAACCTCTATTGATCCTGTGTCAAAATCTAACAGCCAAAATAAAACTTCCTTATCGTGTTTAAAATGGGACATACTGATATAAAGTGAAAAACGTATTCTTTTTCTTGTAAGTTACAAAGTGTGTGTAATATGTTTCCTATTAACACATTGACTTGTGTTCTTTAATATGTTATATAATTTATGCCTGCCTTCTTTCTTTATTTTAATTGAACTAACATATGTTTTATTATTATTATTATGATAGTAAATAATGTCCAATTGAAATACACATTTTTTTTGTCAAAGTCTTGTCTGTCTTTAATATTTTTTACATTTGGTGCCGAAACCCGACTTTATCATGTCAATAAGAAGATCAGAGAGGGAAAGACACCCTCCAGACAGATATACTCCAGCAATTGGGAATAACAACGACAAAACTGTTAATCCAAAGCCAAATAAAGACCAACCATCAGTTTCTGCCAAATCTAGTACTTCTCCTAGTAGACGACGATTAATGGAAGTGGAGTTGAAGAAGCTGGAAGAAATACAGAAATTGGAAAGAGCCCATTAAGAAAGAGAAATGGAGCGACAACGACAAATGGAAGCTAGAGAACTAGAGCGACAGAAACAACTGCTGGCGGCGAGAGCTGAGCTTGAGTCTGCTTCAGTGTGTGGCAGTCTACAGTCGAGCCGCCCTAGTAATCGATCTGAAACCAAGGTAGGACTTAGTGTAAATCTTGATGATGAGGAAGAACCGCAAAGCAAGGTTGAAAGGTGGCTGAATGAAAAAGAACCGACAGTTCTTAAGTCCTCATCAGCCATCATGACCTCAGCCGTGCAAAAGCTTGCGGATACCTTCCAAAAAGCTATACAGCCTGTTTCATTTCGTCAAAAACTTCCAAGCTTCAGTGGCAAGCCTGATGAATGGCCGATATTTTTTTCGGCGTATGAAAAAACTGCCTATCTTTTTAGTGAGGATGACAACCTCATAAGAGTAAGGAATTGTCTAGAGGGAGAAGCATTTAGAATGGTTAAGCCTCTTTTTGTCTCAAGTCAAAATCTTAAGTCAATTATCAAGCCCTTAAAGATGCGTTTTGGTAGACCAGAACTCATTTTGGAGTCAATGTTAAAAAAGACTCGTAGGCTACCTTCTGTCAAGGAAGACGACACTACAAGTCTTGTTGAGTTTTCGACAAATATTTTGAATTTTACTGCTACAGCAGAGTCATTACACCTAGAAAATTATGTATTAAATCCTTACTTACTAAATGAATGTCTCAACAAACTTCCCTATAGTTTAAAATACAGGTGGGCTGAGCATGTAAGTAATAATTCTCTAAGCAGTCCCAACTTGAAGGAGTTTTCCACTTGGTTGGAAAAACAATGCTCAATCCTGAGTATTTACTTTCGTCCTACAGAAGAGAAACTCTGGCAGAATAAAACTGACATAAAGCTGGTTTATACCAGTTCTACTGAAGACAAACAGTTTAACTGTATGTTTTGTCTCGACAGCCACGAAAGTGAACGATGTGGAGTTTTCAGGAAGGCAGATGTATCGCAGAGATGGAAAATGATTGTCGAAAAGAAACTATGTTTCTTCTGCTTTCGACGTCACAGGCTCCAAAAATGTATAGTAAAGAAGGTTTGTGGGATAAATGGGTGCAGGTTGTTTCACCATCGTCTTCTCCATACTGACAAAATTGAGGGGTTTCCCAAACAGGACAGCGAACCGCAAAATAAAGAAATTATTAGCAGTCATGTTGTTAATAACCGTGCTCTACTAAGAGTATGTCCAGTGACATTATATGGCCCAAGTTGTCAGATTGACACTTACGCACTCTTAGATGACGGGTCAACAGTATCTTTGTTGGATTCAGCTGAAGCCGATAAATTAGGCTTCAACGGTAGTATTGAACCCCTCACGACATGCTGGTCCAATGCAACCCAACATTTCGACCCAACATCCATGACTGTGAAAGTTAAAATTAACGGGTTATATGAGGACGAAGTATTTACATTAAACAATATACGAACCCAGTCACCATTGGACTTACCAAAACAAATGGTGGATACTGTAAAACTGAAAAAGAAGTCGTCTCACTTACGGTCAATAATTGACCGTATTATTGGTCAACCTTTACCATCAGCAAATTTGAAACCTACAATACTTATAGGTCAAGACAACTGTGACCTTATTCTAGCAAGGAAAATAATTGAAGGTCCTCTCAACTCTCCAGTCTTGTCTTGGAGCCGTTAAGGCTGGACATTGCACGGTAAATGTCATGAACACATTGGGCGAGTAGATAGTCAATTCACTTTAACGTCTTTTGAAAGTGAAAAACTTCATGATATTATCAAAGATTCTTTTGAAATCGAGAATTATGGCGTGTCCCTACTAGAAGATGACAATGTAAAATCAGCTGAAGACAAAAAAGCCCATAAGATTTTAGAAGATACGACAAAAAAAGTAGAGGATAGGTATGAATCCGGCCTACTATGGAAGTCGGAAGACTTTAAATATCCTCCGAGCTATGAACATGCGTTGAAAAGACTTAAGGGTATTGAAAGGAAGATGGCAAGAGACGAAAACATTCATAACAAATACAAGGCCAAGATCACTGACTATGAAGAAAAAGGTTACATCAGAAAACTACGTGATGACGGTATGAATCCGGCCTACTATGGAAGTCGGAAGACTTTAAATATCCACCGAGCTATGAACATGCGTTGAAAAGACTTAAGGGTATTGAAAGGAAGATGGCAAGAGACAAAAACCTTCATAACAAATATAAGGCCAAGATCACTGACTATAAGAAAAAGGTTACATCAGAAAACTACGTGATGACGAAGCTAAAATGTAAAAAATATTAAAGACAGACAAGACTTTGACAAAAAAGATGTGTATTTCAATTGGACATTATTTACTATCATTATAATAATAAAACATATGTTGGTTTAATTAAAATAAAGAAAGAAGGCAGGCATAAATTATATAACATATTAAAGAACACAAGTCAATGTGTTAATATGAAACATATTACATCTTTTCCCCTCCAACGGAAAGGACCGCAACTTTAGTCAGAGGCCGGCGATAAGTTCCTTTTGATGTTGTGATGACTACTATTCGTACTTGGCCATCGTGACCTGGGTACAGCCGAGATTCGGCCAAGGGGCCATGTATTTCTTGGGCAGTTTTCCTCAATTATTATTGCAAGATCGTCAATCTTTGGTGGGTCCAATTTTTTGTGCCATTTGCACCGTCTTGAAAGGCATGGAAGGTACTCATGCACCCACCTCTTCCAGAAGCTGTCTAGGAGTGATCTAACACGAGCTAATTGTCGTTTACACAGTTGGTCTTCGTTTAGGTTGATTTTGTAAGCTTCTCTTAGAAAATGGTTTGGTGTGATTGGTTCGGGGTCATTGGGATCCAGAGAAACATGTGTGCGTGGGCGAGAATTTATTATAAATTCAACGCGAACCATGAATGTCTGAAGCTCTTCGTCTTTTGGGTACTGGCAGCGCATAACACTCCTTAATGCGGTCTTTACAGACCTAACAAGTCTTTCCCAGCAGCCTCCCATATGTGGTGCTCGCGGGCAAATGAAATTCCACTTTATCCCGTAGTTCACCATGTCTTTTTGGATCTTTTCATGTTTGAGTGACTTTACAGCGTTTCAAAGTTCCCTATCTGCAGCTACAAAGTTTGTGCCATTGTCGGAATATAATTTTGAGGGAACTGGTCTTCGGCTGATGAATCGTTGAATCGCCATTATACAACTATCTGTGTTAAGAGAATGAGCCGTTTCGATATGAATTGCTAGAGTCGATAAACAGGTAAATAAGACACCATATCTTTTTTCATGTCTGCGGCCAACAGTAACTTCGAAATAATCCACTCCGGTGTAGAAGAATGGATGTTGCACTTTTGAGGTCCTTAACTGTGGTAGTGCAGCCATCTGAGGAGGATAAGGTTTGGCATTGTCTATGCTACACCTCATGCAGCTCCATTGAACTTTATTGGCGACTGATCGTACGTTTAAGATCCAGAACTGTTGTCTATAGTCATATTGATAACAGTCTCGATGCCCTGATGGAAACATTTCTTGTGAAACATTTTTACGATTAGTTTAGCCGTATTACTTTTGCCGTCTAAAATGATAGGATGCTTTTGTTCTTCGCTTATTTCTGGTGAACTATTTATTCTACTCGACATTCTTATTAGAGACTGATCAATGAAGGGATTTAAAGAGAATATTCTACTGGACATTGGTAGAGGTTTGTTCTTCAGCAGTAAATTCTTTTCTTCATTGAAGCTTGCCTTTTGAGACATTGATATCAAGTTCTGTTCAGCTTTTTGAATTTC